TTCTTCTTCTTCTTCTTCTTCTTCTTCTTCTTCTTTTTAATAACAGAGATTGAACCCAGGGGCACTCTATCCTTGAGCTAAATCTCCAGCCCTTTTAATTTTTATTTTGAAACAGGATCTCACTAAGTTGATTAGGGCTTTGCTAAATTGCTGAGGCTGGCCTCAAACTCATGATCTTCTTTCTTCAGTCTCCTGGGTTGTTGGGATTACAGGCATGCCACTGTGCCCAGCTGGGACTCTCAATTCTGAGGGTAAGGAAGGGAGCCTCACCTCTTTCTGCTCAGTATGTCTGTTGCATTAGGGTTGGCGGAAAAACAACAGGAAGTGTCTTGCTTGCTCTCTCAGACCCTGGATGAAACTAGAAGAGCTCTTAAGTAGACACACATTGATTCTCCTCCTCCTCCTCCAGACTCTGCGGACAAGAGCTTAGAGCAATCCAACACCCACACTCATTTGTAACCTGTCAGGGTGTCTGCCTGACCAGAGTCCTGGGGCCAGAGCTAGGGCAAGTCCAGGAGGGCAAGAGTTCAGGGAGGGATCTCTGTAAACAAGTGAGCTCAGGAGAGGAAGGGGAAGCAGGTGGTACAGGCTCACAGGGGACCTTCAAAATGTCTCAGRTTTCCCCACTCCCTAAAGGACAGGTAGGCACTCATTCCTCCACAAGGACTCCAAAATTGTCTCTCTCAATCTCTGTGTCTCCATCTTCTGGCTCCCATTCCTCCTTCTTGTCCCTACACTGTCCCTATAGTTGCCCCTCCTGCTTTCTACTCGGTATCTCCAGAATCACACTGTGAGCTCCCTTAGCCCCCAACTAGGAAGGAGCTCAAAGCACTTCACAGAACTCCAGTCCCCCTTCCCACTTCACAGGTGTTCTTCCTCAGACACAGACAAGTTGTGGGCAGGGAACCCGCTCATAACTTCTTTAAGAGAGATGCAGTGGGGGAGGGTGAGAGAATGTTCACGTGTCAAAGGGATGAGGGCAGACAAAAGAAAGAATTGAGATGGGGAGAGTGGTGTACAGAAGAATTGAAGAGAAAAGGATTACTGAGATAGGAGCAAGCAGATGTCTTTCTATTCCACCTCTCTGGGAGAAAGTTTGTAGTTAATTCTGAAGTTTTCTTATTTATTTATTTATTCACTTAATTATTTTTGTAAATACTGGTGATAGAACCCAGACGCATTTTTACGACCGAGCTATATCCTTTTTATTTCTTGTTTTCTAATTTTGAGACAGGGTCCCAGACTCACTAAATTGCTCAAGGCCTCACTAAATTGTTGAGGCTGCCCTCAAACTTGGAATCCTTCTGCCTGTGCCTCTGGAATCTCTGGAATTACAGGATTGTGATATAGCACCCAGTCTTTCTCTCTCCTGAGACCTCAGGTGTAGGGAACTAGGGTTTGTCTTCTAACCCYAAATCTGAGCCAGGCCTGTATCTGACCTGGTTGCCCTGTTTCTGAGAGATGAGACTTCCCTCTCCATCTTTCCTTCATCCCAGGGAGAACCTTCTCACCCCATCCCTTGCCCTCCTAATTAAGGGACCAATTTGAGTCTAAAGGAAAAAATAAATTCCAAATCTGTCTGATAAAACTATGCAAATCTGTCTGGGAGTTGAGGAAATGCACTCCTCCTATAGCAGCTGAAGTCACTAACAATCTGTCATTATTAACAGGAAGAAAAGAGGGGGACTGGGGTATAGTTCTGTGGACAGCATCCACCTAGCATGCATGAGGCCCTGAATTTGATCCCTAGTACTAAAGAATGAAAAGAGAAAGGAAGAAAGGGGGGATGGAAGGAAGAAAGGAAGGGAGGGAGGGGAGAAAGAAAATAAAAGTACCTCAAATTATACTGTCAGTGGCAGTGATTATTTTGGTCTCCGTTCTCCAAATTTACTATGCCCTCCAATTTATCCCTGAGTCTCACCACCTTCCTTCTTATTGCAGGTATTAAAACTTTCCAAAATCTCTATTGGCTTTCCCAGCACCATCTCAAGGAACTGAGAGGACTGAGGATATAGCTCAGGTGGTAGAGTACCTGCCTAGCATGAATGAGGTCCTGGGTTCAATCCCTACTGCCCCTGCCCAACCAAAGAAAAAAACAGTGAGAACCAAACAGATCAGGTCCCCAAGTCTCCTAAAGTTGATTTCCTTGTTTATATGATAAGTTTACACATATACATAGAGAACATAGGCTTATTTATTTATTTATTTATTTTTAATATTTATTTTTTAGGTGTAGATGGACACAACACAATGCCTTTATTTTTATGTAGTGCTGAGGATCGAACCCAGGTCCTGCCTGTGCTAGGCGAGCGCTCCACGCTGAGTCACAATCCCAACATAGGCATATTTAGAACTGAAATTATCTTAGGGAATTATTGGTCCTTATGCTAAAAATACAGACAGAGGAAACCATTCTGATCAAAATAGGGATATGTTAGAAGTTTGCACCCAGGCTTTGCCAGCTACTCTTCCAGGTGAATGAGGCAGGAGGACTGAAAGTTCAAGGCCAGCCTGGAGAACCAGTCTCAAAATAAAAAACAAAAAACAACTGGGGACCTGAGGATGTAGTTCAGTGGTAAAACCCCCCTGGATTCAATCCTCAGTACAGAGGGAGTGGAGGAAGAAGTTTACACCTTTTTGGTCCTTTCTGTGGAGGCAGCTCTTAGGTTGGGAAGTTGGCAGGAACAATCTAACAGTTCTTTCATTAGGCCTCAAGGTTCTCTATCTGCTCTCCCTAGTTTAAATTTGGGGAGGCCAAACCCAAGATCAAAAGTTGGAATTTCAAAACTAGAAGGATATCCAGGGTTACAATTTTTCCCAAGAGATGGCTTATTGTTGCTGTTGGGGAGAAAATGGGATCTGAATTCACTATTGTTTCTTTTCATGTCAGATAATTGAACTGTCATGGATCTGCTTTAGGATCTCAGAATATGGACAGTGCATATTGTAATGACATGACTAGGTTTGTGGACAGAATACTTGGGTTCAAGTCCTTGTTTTGGCCATTTCTTAACATTATGACCCTCGAAAAGTTCCTTCCTTCCCTTTCCTTCTCTTTTCTCTCTCTCCCTCTTCCTCCACCCTGACTCTCTGACTGAACCCAGGGAAGCTCACATAAACTAGGCAAATGTTCTTCCACTGATCTATGCCCTCAATGATAAACAAGCTTACTTTTTTTTAATATATATATATTAGTTATAGGTGGACACAATATCTTTATTATTTTTTTAAATTTTTATGTGGTGCTGAAGATCGAACTTTGTGCCTCACGCATGCTAGGCGAGCACTCTACCTCTGAGCCACAACTCCAGCCCTAAACAAATTTCTTGACTTCTCTGRGTCTTAGCCTCCTAGAAGAAGAATGGATTTAATACTACTTACTTTCCTGCATTGTTAGTAGAATTAAAGCAAACAAGAAAATATAAACCATAGAAAACTCTATAGATGTATGATACTAACATTATATGCACATTCCAAAATAGTGTGAGTCAGTCTTCTGTTTTTTAATATAACTAGTGTATT